TCAGAATGGCCATCATCAGAAAGTCTGTAAGTAATAAATGCTGGAGAAGGTATGGAGAAAAGGGAATCTTCCTATACTGGTGGAGGGTATATAAATTGGTGAAGTCACTACATAGGTTCCTTTAAAAACTAAAAATAGAGCTAACATTTGATCCAGCAACCTCACTCCTAGGCATGTGTCCAGAAAAGATGAAAACTCTAATTTGAAAACATACATGTATCCCAATGTTCATAGCCACGGTATTTACAATAGCAAAGATATGGAAGCAACCTAAATGGCCATTGACAGATGAATGGAGAAAAAAAGATGTGCCCCCTACCACAGAATATTATTCAGTCATAAAAAAGAATGAAATAATTCCATTTGAAGCAACATGGATGGACCTAGAGATTATCACACTAAGTGAAATAAGTCAGATAGAGAGAGACAAATGTCATATGATAGCACTTCTATGTGGAATCTAAAAAAATGATACAAATGAACTTAATTACAAAACAGAAATAAACTCACAGACACAGAAAACAAACTGATAGTTACCAAAGGGGATGGGGCATGAGGGATAAACTAGTGGTTTGGGATTAACAGAGTATTGTATACAAAACAGGTGAACATCAAGGTCCTGTTGTACAGCACAGGGAACTCATATTCAGTATCTTGTAATAACCTATAATGGAAAAGAATCTGGAAAAGATTACACATTTATATATAATATATAAATCATTGTGCTGTACACCTGAATTAACACATGGTAAATCAACTATGCTGCAGTTTTTTTTAAAAAAGATCATACCCATTTCTCTTTTTTCCAGCTCTACTGAGATATAATTGGCACTTAACATTGTATAGTTTAAGATGTATAACATGTTGATTTGATACATTTATAAGCTGTAAAATTATTCCCACCATAGCATTAGATACGAACTCCATCCCATCACATAGTTACCATTCCCTTTGTGTGCTGAGAACATTAGGTTCTACTCTCAGCATATAAATTACAACATTTAACCAATGTAACTGCCTTCTATTTCCTCATGGAGATAACTGTAGGCAAGTAACTGAATACAGTTTGAAATACACAAACATTTAACTACTAGCAAAACAAACATTACAAAACCTCCTCTGGCCACACACATCCCTTTGACATATCTTAAGGTAGCAAACTAAAGACATATACTTGCTGCTGTTGTTCAGTCACTCATTCATGTCCAACTCTTTGTGACCCCATGGACTGCAGCACGCCAGGCTTCCCTGTCCATCACCAACTCCCGGAGCTTACTCAAACTCATGTCCATCCAGTTGGTGATACCATCCAACCATCTCGTCCTCTGTCATCCCCTTCCCCTCCTGCCTTCAGTCTTTCCCAGCACCAGGGTCTTTTCCAATGAGTCAGTTCTTTCCATCAGGTGGCCAAAGTATCAGAGTTTCAATTTCAGCATCAGTCCTTCCAGTGAATATTCAGGACTGATTTCCTTTAGGATTGACTGGTTGGATCTCCTTGCTGTCCAAGGGACTCTCAAGAGTCTTCTCCAACACCACTCAAAAGCACCAATCCTTCGGCACTCAGCTTTCTTTATAGTCCAACTCTCACATCCATACATGACTACTGGAGAAACCATAGCTTTGACTATTTGGACCCTTGTCGGTAAAGTAATGTCCCCACTTTTTAATATGCTGTCTAGGTTTGTCATAGCTTTTTTCCCAAGGAGCAAGCGTCTTTTAATTTCACGGCTGCAGTCACTATCTGCAGTGATTTTGGAACCCAAGAAAATAAAGTCTGTCACTGTTTCCACTGTTTCCCAGTCTATTTGCCATGAGGTGATGGGACCAGATGCCATGATCTTAGTTTTTTGAATGCTGAGTTTTAAGCCAGATTTTTCAGTCTCCTCTTTCACTCTCATCAAGAGGCTCTTTAGTTCTTCTTCACTTTCTGCCATAAGGGTGGTATCATATTTCTCCCAGCAATCTTGATTCCAGCTTGTGCTTCTTCCAGCCCAGAGTTTTGTATGATGTACTCTGCATGGGAGTAAATAAGCAGGGTGACAGTGTACAGCCTTGACGTACCCTTTTCCCCATTTGGAAGCAGTCTGATATTCCCATCTCTTGAAGAATTTCCCACAGTTTGTTGTGATCCACACAGTCAAAGGCTTTAGTGTAGGCAATGAAGCAGAAGTAGATGTTTTTCTAGAATTCTCATGCTTTTTCTGTGATCCAACGGATGTTGTAATTTATATGCTAAGAGAGTAGAACCTAATGTTCTCAGCACACAAAGGGAATGGTAACTATGTGATGGGATGGAGGTGGTAGCTAATACTATGGCAATTTGATCTCTGGTTCCTCTGCCTTTTCTAAATCCTTTCTTTGGGATTGGAGTGAAAACTGACCTTTTCCAGTCCTGTGGCCACTGCTGAGTTTTCCAAATTTGCTGGCATATTGAGTGCAGTACTTTAACAGCATCATCTTTTAGGATTTGAAATAGCTCAATTGGAATTCCATCACCTCCACCAGCTTTGTTCGTAGCAATGCTTCCTAAAGCCCACTTGACTCAATAATTACATTAGACCAGAAGAATAGGTCTTATTTTACTATTTTACAAGCAAAGCAACTGAGCCAATAGTGGTTATTTAGCTACTGAGTGACACACTTAGAATTTTGGTTTCCTGATTTCTAATCCAATATACCACATTATTTCTCAAAACGTGTGCGTGTGCAAGTGAAAAATATACCAAAGAAAATACATTGAAGAAGAAAATTCTTGCACAGATGTGATTCACAGAGAAGGTATCTGAAATGGTTTGCATCCTAGTGGAGGAGGCTTTAGACACTGTTTTGGTAGAAGCTAATGAAATTAGACTACAGTTTCTTTTACTCAAATTCCCTCTACTATGGGGGAGGAGAAGATCTCCTAATAAGTTGAGCTCCTGATGGTTTTCCCTTTAGAGTACTTGTAATGGAGGATCAAGAAAGTGAAATGTGAGTGGTTTCCTGATTTTTGTTGTAACAAAAGCTTGTTGCTGAAATTAGCTCTTCTCCCCCTCCTACTACCCAAACACAGCATCCATTATTCTTCCCTTCCAAAGCCATCTTAGCAAAATCAGCCCAGCTGAGACACCAGACCTAATGTAGGACATCTCCCATAGGATACTCAAGTTTCCTCTTCTGGCTTGCTTTTTGGGTGTCAGGGCAAATCATTACTAAAGAGAGACTGCTGCTGCTGCTGCTAAGCCACTTCAGTCGTGTCCAACCCTGTGCGACCCCATAGTCGGCAGCCCACCAGGCTCCTCTGTCCCTGGGATTCTCCAGGCAAGAGTACTGGAGTGGGTTGCCATTTCCTTCTCCAAGGCATGCATGCATACTAAGTCGCTTCAGTTGTGTCCAACTCTGTGCGACCCTATGGACAGCAACCCACCAGGCTCCTCTGTCCACAGGATTCTCTAGGCAAGAATACTGGAGTGGGTTGCCATTTCCTTCTCCAAAAGATAGACTGATACACCGCCAAATGGGAAGGCAGACTAAGCCTGGCTGTAAGTGGCTCTGTCTGGGGCCTCTGGTGTCCCTAAGAAGGAAACCAGTGTTCACATAGGGCACTTGGAGTTACCAGTGGTCCACCCAAAGGAACCTCCCTCTCCCTCCACTAGCCAAAGAACATTTTGTGTTGAGATTGTACTCCCATAACTTTTTAATTTTTCCCTTTCACCAGTTTGTATTCAACCATTCAGAATTCTCCGGGTACTTTAGGATCCCTTTTCATTAAAACATGCTCTTGGGTAACAATTGCTAGAATTTTCTTCAAGTCATTTTTCATGTCAGTCCCCTTCATCGTCATTGTTCTCCCTCTAAAAAACTGTCATCCTGTAGGGATGATTTAAAAGTCATTTCTGCTGACCCTATCACTGACTCAGAGAAAACAGTAGGGGTTAAGTCCGGTGCCTACACCACACAAAATTTAGTCCTGGGCAAGTATGGTTCCTACTGTACATATCTATTGGCCAAAGGAAGAAACTGAAACACATCTGGGCTCTAAGACTCCTCAAGGTTGCACTGATGGTCAAGGTCTGAGCTCTATTTTTTAGAATAGTAGGACTGAATAACACTATGTGCTGTGGGTGTGCGTGCTAAGTCACTTCAGTTGTGTCTGCTCTTTGCGACCCAGGGTGTGCCTGCCAGGCTCCTCTGTCCATGGGATCCTCCAGGCAATAATACTGGAGTGGGTTGCCATGCTCTTCTTCAAGGGATCTTCCCAACCCAGGGATGGAACTCGCATCTCTTATGTCTCCTGCGTTGGCAGGTGGGTTCTTCACTGCTAGTACCACCAGGGAAGCCAAGGATGCTGGGCTACTGAATTTAAATATTGTAGGTGCCAAGATGGGACTGGGAGTCTCCCTCACTGGGTGGATCACAGAGGCGTGTAGGAGATTGCAGAGTTGGCATTGTCCACTGGAAGCTGGGGCAGAGAACTGGTAGGGCCTGGGAGGCCTCTCAGACACTGGGATCTTTTTTTTTTTTTCCCCCATTTATTTTTATTAGTTGGAAGCTAATTACTTTACAACATTGCAGTGGTTTTTGTCATACATTGACATGAATTAGCCATGGATTTACATGTATTCCCCATCCCGGACAGACACTGGGATCTAATGGGCCTTAGAGTGGGCCCTTTGACTGTTAGCACAAAATAAACAGGAGCCGCCGAGGCATGTCACAGCAGACAGCCAACCAACTTCATATTGGCCCTCCAACTCGGTCCCTACAACAGGACTGGGAGGCAGGTGTTACTGCCCCCATTTTACAGAGAAAGCAGCTGTCAGGAAGATGAAGCCTCCTGTTAAGGATCCCATGCTCTGTACTTTTCAAAGGAAGAGCTTTGAGTTCTGCTCCTTGATTCAAACCTCCTCCCAAGCCAAACTCCACCTTTCCCACGTACAGGAATACAGCTGAAAAGGATCACGGAGGGCACATTGTAGGTCAACTCTCTCTTGGTTTACAACACAAGGGAATGGAGCTCCTCAGCAGAAGTGACTGCTAAGGTCACAAGCCGTGCGCGTGACAAGCTGCACTCTCGGGAACCAAGCCTCAGTTTCTTGTTTCCAGTGCCGCCTCCTGCGGGGCGGGGAGGGGCCGCTGCCGGGCCCCTGGCGTTCCGGGGCGGTCCCTGGCGGCCGTGCATTCCACAGCCACCGGAGCGCGGAGAGCCGGGTGCGGAACTGCGCGTGCCGGCCACTGCTGCGCGCTCCCGCCTGCCCGCCGCGCCGAGCTACCCCGCACGTTGACTGTCGAGGTCCGAGGGCCAGGGCTCGCATCCCGCTGCTGGAGCCCGCCGTCCCCAGGGCGCCTAGAGAAGCGTTCCAGCTGCCTCTGCCCCAGGAACTTTTCGCAGACCTGGCACGATCCAGCAGCGGCGGTGGCCGCGGGTTTTCAAAGCAGCTGCGCGGATCTCGGGTGAGTGGGGTCATCGGGTGCCGTTCGTGGGCTCCGGCTCCCGTGCTGCCTCTACCCAAGTGCCCTCCCAAATGCCTTCTTGTTATCTTTTTCCCCGCCCCGCCACTTCATTTCTCCCTCTTCACCACTTTAGCTTTTTCTTTTCTCCCTTTTGTCCGCCCTTAAGTTCCAGCGACCTTCGGCGCTCGATCTTGGGCCTCCCCGGAGGCCGGAGCTCGTATGAGTGGACTCCAGCCCTCCGGGAAGCCGGTCTGTTCCGCGTTTCCCTAGCGCTGCCTGTGGTCGCGGGGCCGGGGGAAGGGGGAAGCGCACCGCTTCCTCGAGCAGGTTCTGCTACCTCTTTGATCTCCGGGCTCGGCGGCGGAGCTCGGCTCCGCGGCCTGAGCACCCGCTGTGGGGCTGCGCTGGCAGTTTAGGTCTTTGCATCCTCCAGAGCAGCAGGCTCTCTGTCTTACTTTTCTCAGAGCCCTGCGTAGAAGGCGCCCGGAGTTGGGAGTCAGGGGTGGTGGGTTCCAGCGTGGTCTGTTACTAGTTCTCTGTGAAATGGAGAAAATACCCTTTGCATTCCGGTCAAATGAGAAAGGGAAAGTTCAAAGTATCTTGGAGACAAAGAAGCCTTCCTCCCAAGCTCCCTCCTGCCTCTTTACTTAGGGGATGTCCCGACTGCCAGTTCACCCGCATCGCTGACCCCCCTCCACAAATTCCTCGAGGGTGGGCTCTGTCTCTCATCCTCAGCACCTGGCACAGGACGTCCAATACTGCCTTCTGAGTGAAAGAGAGAGATAAATCGTAAAAACCTCATACAACCGTTAAGGTTGCTTTTTGGATTGAGTGGCCAGGCTGGGCTGTTACTCATGCGGCCCCACTCGTTTCTTCCTGACTCCCTTGTTCTAGTCTTGTTGGCACCTGGGGGTTCCTGTGTCACCCCTTTATCTACAGATTCCCTCAAAGCTCTAGGCTGCAGTGGTGAGAGCCCCTCAGTCATTCGATTATGGAAGATCCCCTGATCATCTGCTAGGATCCGTGATGCCACTGTGGTGGGTAAATAGTCCATAGTCCCATAGGACTATGAAGGGGTGATGTTGGGGGTTGGGATGGGAAGAACTGTTTCCCTGGGAGTCAGGAAACACTCTGAGTACCTTGAGGGGTTTCCGTATCTGGACCTTGCCTTCGCCATCCCCATAAAATAAGGCAGTGGAGGTGGAAAAGTTGGGTGTCTGTGGTTAAATGGGATGTGCTTTGGGTTATTCAGGCCACTCAGCAATCCTCTGAGCACATCTGAGACAGCCCAGCTGGGCTTCAGGACATCATGTACTTCTGTAGTAACACCCAGGAAAAGCCAAGGAGAAATGCTTCTCTACTCTAGCTGAGACCTCCAGTTTCCAGCGGTTTAGGGGTTATGAATCATGCCACGGGGGTTATAGGTCATGCCCCATCAAATCTTCCAAACACTTGACCACTCAGAGCATCAGCACTGTGGGCTCCACTGCAAAAAATGGTCTGGGGATTTCCCATTTCTGGCCCAGGCTGAGAGTCACTGGGCTGTGGTGAGGTGTTTGAGACAGAAAACCGATCAGGCGCTCTGGGGGCTGAGTATGGCTGGGTCACATATTGGGCTCTTGGGTGTCAGACTAAGGGGACAATAAGAGGTAAGTACAACCTTAGATGCTTTCCCAGCCATATTCTGACCCTTCTTTTAAGAAGAGTGCTTCTGCTTCTTCTCCATGAAAGCACTTCTTCTGTTTTTTTCTTCTATGTTTTAATAGAAACCCAGAAAATATTTCCAAGGACAGAGGATCTTTATCTTGACTGTCTTACACTGTCGCTATTGGCAGTGGTATCAAAGACAGGCACATGTCCTCCCACTCACAGTTTATAAGAGTAAACACTAGTATTACCACACCCTGCTGATCCCTGCCTGGTTGGCCAGGTAAGCTAAATAATGTAACAATAATCATATTTGTTGTTGTTTAGTTGCTAAGTTGTGTCCGACTCTTTTGTGACCCCATGGACTGTAGCCCACCAGGCTCCTCTGTCCACAGGATTTCCTGGGCAAGAATACTGGAGTGGGTTACCATTTCCTTCTCAGAGGATCTTCCTGATCCAGGGATCAAACATGCATCTCCTGCATTGGCAGTGGATTCTTTACCACTGAGCCACCTGACATTTACTGAGCGCTTGCTATTAGCCAGGTATTACTCTAAGCATTTTACATCTATTAACTCATTTAGTCTTTACCATAATCTTATGAGGTAGGGATCATCATTGCATCCATTTTATAGATGAGGAAACTGGGGTCCAGAGAGTAGCTTACACATATCACACAGGAAGTAAGTGGCAGAGCTGCAATTTGAACCCAGGCAGTTTGGCTTCAGGACCTATGCTCTGAACCTCGTTGCAATTGAGGGGATCTAGGTTCAGATCTTGCCTCTGTCAATTACTTACAGGGTGACCTGGGGGGAGTTAATTGAGAATTTGGCAGCCTCTGGGCCAGTGAATCACGAGGGCCCTTGGAATCAGTTCAGCTCACTCACTGACAGTGAACCTCAAGTGAGAGTGATGTACATCTGGTGTAAAGATTAAGAGTTAGGGAACCAGGAAGGGTAACAGGTCAGAATTATAACTTCTTGGCATATCAGAAAGCAGCAAAACAGATCCAGTGACTAAATTGTGTACTTCAAACTGCTTAGTTATGTACACATACAGCTTCGTTATTTTGGTGATTTGGATCCTGGTGGGCTAATTGGGCATGTGAATTGCTGATGACCCACTGCATAGGATAGGAGAGGGAAAAGGACGTGGAGGAGGGAGACAAAAAGACAGAGAAGACAGCTGGGCTCCCCAGATCAGTTGCAATTAAGATGACACGTCTGACACACACATCTTTCCTCCTAACTCCCTGCCTCAGGCTGACACTGAGACTCAGGACTTTTCAACAAACCTCTATAGGAAGGGAAGATCCTTCTTAACTTGGTGCTCTGGCCTCTGCTGAGGAGCTGTGAAGCATCTGTCTAGCCCTCCCAGACTTCCCGCTTCCTTCTTCTTGATCAGAGAAGTAACAGGAGGGCAAAACAGGAGACTTTTCTCTTTGAGTGCCATGGTGGCATCTTAGGGAACATCTTGGGGCTGTTTAAAGATTCATCTTTTTCCCTCACTCTTTTCTAGGTTTTCTTGAATGGTTTTCAACCCAACACCATCCTGACTGGGGCAGGGCTCTAGGGGCAGCAGAGTCAGTCTTTGAGAGCTGGCCCTTTAGAGGTCACCTTGTCCATCCTCTCCTATTGACCTACAGGAAACTGAAGCTCAGTTTGAAAGAGGAAAATACTCAGGATCGCACCCTGAATTCATTTTCTAATGCTGTAACAAATCACCACAAATGTAATGGCTTCAAATATATTGTAATACAGTTCTAGCAATCATAGGTCTAATATGGGTCTCCTTAGAGTAAATCAAGGCATCTTCAGCTTGCGTTTCTCTCTGGAGCTTTGAGGGGACTTGGTCCCCTATTTGAGTTGTTGGTAGAACTCAGTTCTGTGGTTGTAAGACCAAGGTCACTGTTTTCTTGCTGGCTGCAAGCTGAGGGACATTCCCTGCTTCTCAGGCCACTGCATTCCTTGGTTCATAGCCCCCTTTTTTCATCTTCAAAGTAAGCAACAGTGAGTCAGATCCTTTTCCTATCGTATTTCTCCCACTCTTCTGCCTTCCTTTTCACTTTAAGGATGCATGTGAGTAGATTGGGTTCACCTAGATAATCAGGCTAATCTACCCATCTCAGAGTCCTTAACTTTAACCACATCTGTAAAGTCCCTTTGCCTGTTCTCTTGGCTCCTCCCTCACAGTCATGCTTCCTTGTCCACAGTCAAGGTTTTGAAGACCAGGACTTGGACATCTCTGTAGGGTCGTCTTTCTGCCTACCATATACAGCGAGGCCCACTTTAGGAGAGTGACTTGTTCTGGATCACACATCTTGGCAGGAGATTTCCACCACTGTGGTGCACTTGCAGCTCTATCAATGACACCCCTCTTCCCCCCAGTCCCCCAACAGCCCACCTCATGGACTGTTGACAAACGACTCATCTCCTTTGTCAGCCCAGCAGCAGCAGGCACTTAGTCAGTGGCAAATAGAAATGATGGACGGTGGGGGCTTAAACAGGATATTGTGGATTTGGGCCTGGGTTTCTCCTCTGCTGGCTCCCTGCTGATTTCTAAGACTCTGTGAGTGGCTGGGTCAGATGGTACGTGCAGTCTTGAATAGCTCTGGCATGATTTCTGATGTCTTTGAAATATCTTGGTGTTTTTCCATTTTTCCAGCCACAGAAGAGCAGATAGAAACTCAGGCAGGGAACAGTCTTTATACTGTTAAGAATTTTGAAGGCGATAGAAGCCAATTGGGGTAAAATGAGAACAGAGTTCTCCCTAGAGACCTGGGGTCATTGGAGAAAGTCCTCTGGTTTGATTTGTTTCACATTTTTGATACTTGTGTGTCCTGCCCATTCCTTCCTCTGGCCCCTTTCTTTGGAACAAAGGTCCCTGGTGAAATGGACTCCTTGCTGAGTTGGTAAATGCTTGAGGCTAACTATAACACTTGTTTCCAAGAGTAAATATGAGTCTGGGATGGCCATTTCACACTGGACTTGGCATGAGGAATCCCCTCCCCTTTTATCAGGCTCCCTGTCCTCTTTAGAGAACAGTGAGAGAAAACTCCATATTCTGGGCAGCAACTCCCCAACCCCTACACCTACATCAATGCCCAGCTCCTGAGCACAAGGAATTGAATCTTGAATTTGAACCACCAGCCCAAGCAAGTCAGGAAGAGGGAAGTCTAAAGGATATTATTCAGAAAGGCCAGTGCTTGTTCGTCTAGTACATACAGGGTAAACTGGGAAAGAAAGAGGCTCCATAATCCTTTGGAAATGTACAGAGATCAAATCAGAGGGTGTCATTTCATTTAAAAAATAACGTTCTGACTTTAAGGTCATTGAACAGGGTTAAGCATCCTTTCTGGACCTCCCTC